ACTGGAAAACATACAAAGGAGGATGACAAAGTTGATCCCATGTATCAGAAATCTTCCCTATGAGGATAGACTGAGGGCCCTGAATCTGCACTCTAGAAAGGCGTAGAATTAGGGGGGATATGATTGAGGTGTATAAATGGAAAGCGAGAATGAATAAAGGGGATATAAATAGCGTGCTAAAAATGTCTAGCCTAGACAGGACTCCCAGCAGTGGCTTTAAGTTGGAAAAATTCAGATTCAGGAAGGATATAGGAAAGCACTGGTTTGGTAATAGTTATGGATGAGTGGAACAAACTCCCGAGTACCGTCATAGAAGCTAAGACGTTGTGTAGTTTTAAAAATAGGTTAGATATATACATGAGTGGGTGTGAGTTTGACCTGACTAACTTGATACTAGGTCAGATGCCATGCTCCTTCCCTGAGTGAATGTGACCTGACCTGACTATCTCAGTAGTAGTACCAGTTCCTAGTAACCAGTTACCAGTAACCAGTGTACCAGTAGATGACTCGCTACCAACCGTCTGCGTGAATCACTGACTGATTATTCATATTGCTGCTGACCATAGCAGGATTTCAAACACCCTCACCCGTAGGCACTTGTGGGTCAGTCGAAGATAGGGAGCAGAGAGAGGCAGGTCGGCTGTTGGTGCTCTCCCATACTTTCCCCACTTGACAACTAGGTTGGGGCATTGGCTTAAGCCAGTAGGAGATTTGGGCCTGCCTTGCATGGGCTAGTAGGCCTGCTGCAGTGTTCTTTTATATGTTCTTATTGGTCTGCGTGTAATTCTTAGATTTTCTTATCTTTCTTTGTCTTACTCTAAGAAAAGGAATTACGCATGATCTGTGCACTTTAGCTTCTTTAATTTGCAGAAAAAAAATAAATACAGCAGCCATCCAAAAATTTATCCATACCTGTTCTCAAGATTTTTTTTTTTTGTTCTTCTTTCTCCTTCATCCTCTTTTGCTCACCTGTTTTGTACCCTCTCCCAGGAATTCTCTTAAAGAAAGGGGTAAGTGGCTAGACAAGAATGCCTCCCAGTATCCCAATCTTTCATGATCATGTAGCTTGTTCCATACTATTACCTATTCAATAGGTGTTGGTGGATGAATTTGGTAGGGTGTGCAAAAGAAGAAAATTAAAAGTGAATACAGGAAAGAGTAAGGTAATGAGGATAACAAAAAGATTAGGTGATGAAAGATTGGATATCAGATTGGAGGGGGAGAGTATGGAGGAGGTGAATGTATTCAGATATTTGGGAGTGGACGTGTCAGCGGATGGGTCTATGAAAGATGAGGTGAATCATAGAATTGATGAGGGGAAAAGGGTGAGTGGTGCACTTAGGAGTCTGTGGAGACAAAGAACTTTGTCCTTGGAGGCAAAGAGGGGAATGTATGAGAGTATATGGGTGTGAAGCATGGGTGATGAATGTTGCAGCGAGGAGAAGGCTGGAGGCAGTGGAGATGTCATGTCTGAGGGCAATGTGTGGTGTGAATATAATGCAGAGAATTCGTAGTTGGGAAGTTAGGAGGAGGTGCAGGATTACCAAAACTGTTGTCCAGAGGGCTGAGGAAGGGTTGTTGACGTGGTTCGGACATGTAGAGAGAATGGAGCGAAACAGAGTGACTTCAAGAGTGTATCAGTCTGTAGTGGAAGGAAGGCGGGGTAGGGGTCGGCCTAGGAAAGGTTGGAGGGAGGGGGTAAAGGAGGTTTTGTGTGCGAGGGGCTTGGACTTCCAGCAGGCATGCGTGAGCGTTTTTGATAGGAGTGAATGGAGACAAATGGTTTTTAATACTTGACGTGCTGTTGGAGTGTGAGCAAAGTAACATTCATGAAGGGATTCAGGGAAACCGGCAGGCCCGGACTTGAGTCCTGGAGATGGGAAGTACAGTGCCTGCACTCTGAAGGAGGGGTGTAAATGTTGCAGTTTAAAAACTGTAGTGTAAAGCACCCTTCTGGCAAGACAGTGACGGAGTGAATGATGGTGAAAGTTTTTCTTTTTCGGGCCACCCTGCCTTGGTGGGAATCGGCCAGTGTGATGATAAAAAAAAATAAATTTTTCTTTACAATATTAAAGTTATTAACTGTACCCAGCATTATAACCTAGATATCTAAATCTGCTCATTGCATATCTTGCAGTGTTTACCATCTCATATTTCATAACTTAATATTGTTATTCTGTTCCAAATACCATACATGTTAGAAAATTTTAGTAATATAAATTATAGCTGTGCCTCATTCTCTGCAAGAAGCTTGTCTGTTCAAGTACCATAATAGTATTGTAAAGCAATTTACTATACAGGAAGCTTTGGAGATGCTTCGTACTGCTGAACGTGAAGTAACGCTGGAAGTGTGTAGGCCACCACGTGGGGCTTTAGGAGAGGGTGAGGACGTCTGTGATGGAGGCTCTGGCTTGGCAGTTGTCACCACTAGCCTTGTCGTGCCAAACACTAGTCAAAACTACCTCTCACCATCACCATCTTTCTCATCTTGTGGGGTAAGAAAATGTGTATTACAAGCATATGTATACATGAATATTAATTGTAGTTACAGGAATAAATATATATCTGTAATGTCATCTTAATAATCAGTTATGAAACTTGTTGCCTTTAGATACCAGTCTACGTATTTGTAAATAATATTTTTTTGTGTCTTTGCTTTTGGCTTTGTAATTTGTAAATTTACTTTGAAATAATGTTTTCCAGGAGTTTGAAGTTGAATTAACAAAAGTAGCTGGATCACTGGGGTTCACTCTGCGCAAACAAGACAACAGCATCTTGGGACACACAATACGTTCCTTGGTGAAAGAGCCTGCAATCTCTGATGGCAGGTTGCGGCCAGGGGATAAAATCATCTCTGTGAACAACACAAATATGTGCAGTATGAGTCACGAAGAAGCTATAGCTTTCTTACGCACTTGCCCAGATACTGTTACTCTGCGGTTATATAGGTATGCATTTTGTTTATTTTAAGATAATTTCTTAAGTATCAGTCCTCTTTCTTTGTACAAAATTTTTTTTATACAGTATATCAAATTCTTAATGCTCTACATATATTGTGTTTTTTATGATAAATGTGGATATATAATTTCAGGGATGCTATGCAGACTCCTGTCTCCCCGGCTTCACCTACAGAACCTGATGTTGTTTTAAAACCCAAAGCTCTTCGTAAGGAAGCGAGAGATATGCTAACAGATTTAGCAATGAGGAAGCAGTCTCCTGGTAATTCTCTAAATTTAACTGGTGCCACAAGTTCTCCTGGAACACCTAGAAGACGTCGCTTACAGAAAACGCCTAGCCCTGATATCAAGAGTGTTGTTATAGATAGTGAGTATATAGACTTGTAAATTACTTTTTGCTGATGATTTTGGAGAGACTCATGTTTTTCATAAATATATAAAGACTAATTTTTATTAATATTATCCATTATTAGCATCTCTTGTAGTTTAATGTACTTTATTCTGAATATTTAATTAAAACACATTTGAATACATAGTGCATAAGTTATTGGAATTTATCTTTCGTTTTCCTTTTTTCTTTCAGGATGGGATTCACTCGTAAGAAAAACTGAAGAATCTCTGCCTGATAGTCCCACACTAGAAAATAAGGTTTCCCTCAATAGCATTAGAGAAACAGAGCATGAAGCATCTCCTTTTGGTGATAGTCAGACAGACGATTCAACCTCTACAACAGTCCGCTCAAGAAACTCCTCGGCTGCTTCTTCCTGTTCATTTACTCCTTCCAACTCAGAGTCATCAAGGCCCAAAAGACCAAGCTTTCTAGATCTAAGTAATGGTCGCAGTTGTCCACGCAAAACACAATTCACACCACCCCATGAAGTGGATCAGTCATTCCCATCTCCCTTAGGTGCTCAGTACCCTTCAGCTGACTCCTTAGATTCTGCCCCACAGTTGACCTCGGCTCACAGTGACACCCCAGCATTCTCACACCTCCATCAAGGATATCATAGTGTTAACCTTGGGGCTCTCCATCAACATGAAGACTTGACACTTACTAATACAACATCAGACCATAATATTAGTAGCCATGAAAATGAAGAGCCTCCCAATAATGGCTTATTAAAGTGGAAGGGCATTGTGTTTACACCTGATGAGGATGACAGCACATCAACAGAAGACTCTGTTAAAGAAGATGATAGTGCTAGAGAATCGCCAAAGTCACAAAACCCAAAGGTAGATAGACCTTGTTATTTTTATGTTGCCTTTCAAAGGGTGGGGTACCTTGATGTTGAAGGGTGCTTGATCCAAGAAATTCCAGTTACAGGTCCACATTCCTTTATCCGAAACCCTTGGGGCCAGTAGCGTTTCGAATTTCAGAATGAAGGTGGGGTCTAGGGCAGCACCCCATAATCAAACACTAACACTGCAGCAAAAACATATGAATACTCACACTAAGTGGGATAAATAAAGACTACAAATACTACTATGGTTTATTTATAGAGTAATATATTGATAAATGAAATAATGAGATAATTATGGACCAGGAACATGATTCTCAAGACAAATGACAGACAGCATTTTTAAAGACTTCGTGTCACTTGTCTTATTAACATAGGTTTCTGTCTAAGCAATCTCTTTGTAACCCAGTAAATTGCCATAATCTCTTGCTTGCTGATAAATGCACATTGTTCAAGGCCAGCAGTTAACTGATCACACATTTTCGCCATATCATTTATAGGGACTTTTTCACCTGTGTTCACAATGTCCTCATCATCTACTATTCTCATGCTTATTTGTAGTTAACACCATTTCAGCAATTTCATCATTACTCAAGGAATACACAACAGGTGCATCATTATTAATGTTCAGCATTTCTTCAATGTCGGCTTCCTGTAACTTATTTACACTTTCGTCCAATAAACTTTTAGCGTAAGTTATGAGGTTTGATATCATCATCATCTCATCAGTGACACGAAATCCTTCAAAATCTTCATCTGTAGGTTCATTTACATCAAACACCGTTTTAGGCCAAAGTCTGTGCCAAGCATTTGTTAATGCCGCACTGACACCACGATCAAGCTTCTGCAGTAACTGTACTTTCCACATTATTGATAACATCAGATGCTTCCTTTTCTTTTTCTCGCTGTTACCCATGGGGGTATCTGCAGCTCTTTTTGACATTTTCACAGTGAAATTAAAGTCACAACAAAAAGCAAAAACAAAATATCAGCAAACAGCAGACGCATGCGTGAACACTACAAGCACTGAGACACAACTGACACCTGCCACTCTGGCTGTCAGTGCTGGGTAATGCCGCCAGGGTTGTGTAGAGATGACCGATGCTCCACACTCCATGAAAACGCCGGGTAACCATCTGGAGAAGACCCGTGCCGGAAGTACCGGCGAATCAACAAGAAGAAGAACTCCATGAAAAAACTTCAGTTTTTGGAACTTTTCGAATTTCAGTATTTTGGATAAAGGGATGTGGACCTGTACTCTTTTTGTATCAAACCTGACACTTCTTATTCTCCAGGTATTGTGTGACTTAACAGGGTTAGTGGTTCCTTTTAAAAAACATTTTCCATTGCCTTATTGAACAATAACCCTCCAGGTAAGTACTTGCATTATTTTGTGGTCTGTATAGTTTTCTATAATGCCATTATAAGATCTCTCTCCCATGTAATCCTCCAATTTTCCTATCCTTGAAAAACTTTTCTGAAAAACTTTTCAAACCACGGTATGGTTTATTTGCAACCATGTCATTACGATTTTGAGAGTCATTACTCAGACCCTTTGTACCTCACACTCTATGCATTTTTCTTGCAAGTCCAACATTACTCGTTCATCCTGGATGTCTTGACCACACTCAAACATTGCTCTAGTCCAACTAATAACTCTCACTTTTTTTTTTCAACATGTCGGTCATCTCCCACCAAGGTAGGGTGACCCAAAAAGAAAGAAAATCCTCAAATAGAAAATACTTTCATCATTCAACACTTTCACCTCACTCATACATAATCACTGTCTTTGCAGAGGCGCTCAGATACTACAGTTTAAAAGTCAACCTCCAAACTGCCAATATCTCAAACCCCTCCTTTAAAGTGCAGGCATTGTACTTCCCATTTCCAGGATTCAAGTCCAGCTAACCGGTTTCCCTGAATCCCTTCACTAAATATTACCCTGCTCACACTCCAACAGCTCGTCAGGTCCCAAAAACCATTCGTCTCCATTCACGCCTATCTAACACGCTTACACATGCTTCCTGGAAGTTCAAGTCCCTCGCCCACAAAACCTCCTTTACCCCCTCCCTCCAACCTTTTCGAGGATGACCCCTACCCCGCCTTCCTTCCCATACAGATTTATACGCTCTCCAAATCATTCTACTTTCATCCATTCTTTCTAAATGACCAAACCACCTCAACAACCCCTCTTCAGCCCTCTGACTAATACTTTTAGTAACTCCACACCTCCTCCTAATTTCCACATACTGAATTCTGTGCATAATATTTACACCACACATTGCCCTTAGACAAGACATCTCCACTTCCTCCAGCCACCTCCTTGCTGCAGCATTTGCAACCCAAGCTTCACACCCATATAAGAGTGTTGGTACCACTATACTTTTGTATATTCCCTTCTTAGCCTCCATGGATAACATTTTTTGTCTCCACAGATACCTCAGTGCACCACTTGCCTTTTTTCCTTCATCAATTCTATGGTTAACCTCATCCTTCATAAACCCATCCACTGACAAGTCAACTCCCAAATATCTGAAAACATTTACTTCTTCCATACTCCCCCTCTCCAGTGTGATATCCAATTTTTCTTTATCTAAATCGCTTCATACCCTCATCACCTTCCTCTTATCTATACTATTCACTTTCAACTTGCTACCTTTACACACCCTCCCAGACTCGTCTACTAACCTTTGCAACTTTTTTTTAGAATCTCCCATAAGCACAGTATCACACATATATATCTACCTTTATTGGCTATCCTAGTTACCAAATACACACCAGAAAACAATGCTTAGGTTGTTACCTGGAGATTTTTCTACCATGGCCATTTCCTTGAAAGAAGGATTCTACCATGGCCATTTTCTTGAAAGAAGGATTTATGAAGGACCCTTCAGGGTGGCACCTTTGTAGAGTGACAGTTTCTTGATCTGGGTAATTGGGGTTGCCATTCTTAAGCTTAAACCTGATTACCTCACATCATATGGATTGAGGAACAGTGCATCAGAGATAGTATAGATTTCTAAATCATCACAGTGTTAATCAGCCCAATTGATAATTTCATGTACCTGTACCTTTAATTAACATTTATTAATATTGATCATATGATGTACCATTATTTAGTCATTATGAATATTAGTTGTACAAACATATTTTTCAGATGGTGACGCTAGAGCTCAACCGAGGGTGGAACAGCCGTTTGGGCTTTTCCTTACAACCTCAGGGGGATAATACTGTCATCACTGCTATCTATGCCGAGAGTGTTGCTGCCAAAGATGGTCGACTGACAATAGGAGATATAATTGTAAAGGTACGCAAGTCAAATATTTAAGTCTCGCGTTCATACAGTCAACCCCCAACTTAATGACTATATAGGGACCAGAGAAAAAGTTTGCTATGTGAAGAATACACTGGTTAAATCATATTTACTTATAGAAGCCCATGTTATAATTCAAGATGCAGACAAACAATACACTGTATACTATTTTATTTAATAATAAACAAAATACTCAGCTTCACATCTGAATTATATCTAAATTGTTCTCAGGATAGGCTACTTGATGCTGGTGAGGGAATCTTGACCCAAGGAATTAGACTGCCCCTCTCTTTCCCGTTCATGAAGTAAACCTAAGTGCCTCGTATTACCCCAGCATTATATGATCCTACAAGTTTAGCACTCTTTCATAAATGTAATAATACAGTTCTACCCAAATTGTATTTGTGGTAGAGGCCAATGGGAAGGCAGCTTGCCACCCATGAATCTGTCTGAAATTTCTCATGGTAATTTATTTTCCCTGCATTTACTTTTAAAAAATTCTAGGTACGTATACACAATGTACGTAATAGGTATGAAAACGTGATATAGCTACTTGTATTTGTGCGATTCTAGGATATGAGTGAAGGAGATAAATGTTTGTTCGAAAACATTACTGTTGCTGAGTTTAACACATCATAAGTATGAAACCTAGACATGTATGTCTGCCACACAAAGAATTTAGTGATTTTTGTGAATATATTAGTAACATGGGGAAGTAGAAAAGAATACTTCCTCCGTAAGTGATGCATGTTGTAAGAGACGACTAAAATGCTGGGAGCAAGCGGGTTAGTAACCTCTTTTCCTGTATAAATTACTAAATGTAAAAGAAAAAACTTATGTTTTTATTTTAGATCTCATGCCTTGGTGGGTTACAGCTGGTTCATTGAAAAAAAAAAAAAAATTAGTAACAACGATAAAACACTTTACCACTGATTTTATTTCTGTTCAACTTGTACGTTATTTATGATTAATCAAGTAGTAGTTTAGTGGTGTGGCCCAGGTTAATCTACTCCCAGAGCCTAGCCCTGGACCAGGCTTGTTTGGTATTTACCTGGTCAACCATAGACAGCCAGACTTTATATTTTTTTGTTTTCACTATAAAATATATTTGTTTATAGCATGTGCTCATTTGGAGTGTTCTTATTTGCTCAGTACAATTTGGTAAAGAAATATAGATTTTTTGCATTATGATTAATTTGGGGAAATCCTCTTGGTTAAATTGTACGTATTTGATTACTTTTTTATTGATAAAATATATGTAGTAATGTATAGTATGAAAATATTTAGTGACATATTCCATCAAACTAGGAGCACATACAGTCACACAGGAGGTAGTTAGCAGGGGGAATTAGCCTAGGTTTTACTGGTTGTTAATCAAAATAATTTTCTGTAAGCAGTTGTTAAGTTGCAATCCACTTTCTTCAATATCAGTGTTACGTACTTATTTTCAGAACCTATGTTCCAATACTGTAGCATGTCTTGAAGGTTTAGTAAAACTAAGTGGTGTTGATTTTATATTCTATCATAATTATTAATTGGGATTTCAAAACTGATTTTTTTTTAAACTTGATAATCATAAATCACATTATATATCATAATTAATACTAATTTTATTTTAAATGAGCTTCTGTCAAAAGGAATTCTTTGATAATCTGTTATTTTTTATTTTGTTTTCAGGTTAATGATGTGGATGTTGTTGGTTGGGACTCAGAATCTGTCATAGATATTCTTCGGAAGACAAGAGGGAAAATTTCACTGACTGTTCTTCGGCAGCCTTCATAATACTGTACTTACAGTTCAAAGGTATTTTACCAAGTATTGTTGTGCCTACAGCATGACTTGTACCAAGAATGATGAAATCAATGTCAACCATGTTTGGTACACATGCTGTCCCATATATCTACGGACCACAGTTCTTTGTAATATCAGACTCCTGGAATATCAGTCTTCATGTGATCTAAATCACAAGTTTTCTGACCAAGGAATATATTTGATTATGCTCCACATTGATCATTCATGTGGTTTTATACTTGGTAATTGAGGCAGTCATTTGACTGTCTCATGACATCCTGTCTGTCAGAAAATTTTTTAAGAAATCATGAACATTTGTTTCAAAATTAGTTGAAGTACCCCTTTTTTTTTTTCCCCTCCTATTTTCAAAATTTGAATTTTTCTAAACTGCGATTCCCTCAAGGGAGGCTCCTTGATGCTGGTGAGAGAGTTTCAAAGAACTGGACCTACCCTTCCTTCCTCTGATTGAACCAGATTGCTTCTCATTTTCCTAGGTGCTGTATAACCCCTGTGGACTTAGCATTCTCCTCCTCTCCCCACAAATGTGATGCAATAAATGCTAAACTTCAAGCAAGTCAACTCACTAAAGGACCCATTGTATTACAGTAATTTTTGATAAAGCAACTTCTGCTACCTGTACTTTCTCTTTTAATATTTTATTTTGGAAGTGTAAAAATTATGGCAGAGCCTACTTGTTCACAAATTCATAATTAAGGCATTTCTTACTCTATTGCATCCTATCCCAGAAAATAAACTTTCCTTGTGTGGAAAGATTTACAAAAAAATAAATTCTCTTTTATACAGATTGAAAGAGTGCATTTTTTATGAACTGAATAAAATTGTGACTGGAATCTGATAAAAACTTGTGATTTGTATGTGTTGAAATTGTTGCAAAATATGATCACTTGTCACCAGCAGTTTTACAATTTATTGATGCCAAATTATGATTATCAGGTTTTTGCTTTTAACCCTTTCAGGGTCGCCAAATTTAAGAAAAAATAATTTTTTTTTTTATGAAAAGATAGAATCTTTTCTTGATCATAATGACACCAAAAGTACGAAATTTGATGGAAAACTAACGGAATTATGCTCTCACGAAGTTAGCGATCTCGATGATGTTTACGCACCGGCGATTTTTGCCCACTTTGAGCCCTATTTTCGGCCAATTCCAGTGTACTAGTCAACAAAAATCATAACTATTTCGCTAGAACTCCATTTTTTCTATCGAATGAGTACAAGAAACCACCCATTTACCGATTTCAACTATCCAATAAAGTGGTCAGAATTACAAATTTTGCCAATTTCACACAAATTTCAAAAGATGCCAATTTCCGAATAGGGTCCAGAATAAACAAGACAGACATTCCTGGCACTAAAATAACATTTCCTCTGTTCATTAGTCACGTCCCCACGCCCCTCTTACATTCTTTTGCTTTCCACTTTGAATTTTTATTCTCACAAAAAATAGAAGATTTACTGTATGTGGACTTTGTGCATTAGTGTAGCAATGGTATAAATAATATCAGCGCACTTGTGAAAGAATATTAGACTCACCAGTTGACGTGTATTGGACGCATAGCATGATTTGTTTACTTTTGAACTTTGGTAAAAATCGAACATTTCTGCTACTTTGAGCTCAATTTCAAGGTACTTTTCATCGTGAAACCAGTCAAAATCATCTCAATTTCTGTAATATGTCTTCCATTCTATAAAATGAGACCAGGAAAACTAAAATACAACAATAAATACCATACAAAAATACAGTGCAAAGTTGCCGTTTTAATCCAAAAACGTGGTTAGTGTTTTTTTTTTTTTTTTTATATACTTCGCACACTGACCACATAGACCCATTCTTTCATATGTAGGCCTACCCACTTTCTCTCACTAGATTTGAGGGCACTAGAATTTAGGCATACTAGTACATACGTCAAAAACCCAGGTGCGTAAGCCGTACTAGTACGTCCGAAACCCTGAAAGGGTTAATGTCTTAACGCTTATGTAAGCCTTCCAATGCTTAGTAAATTTTGTTTATTGCATTTTAAGGAATTGTTAATTACCTTTTTATTTAAATTGATTGTTTTTTCCTTTTGGTTGCCTTTAGTCTAATAGTGGAAGGCCAACAGATACCATAACAAATTTTAAATGCTTTGTTAAAGCATATGTTTCAGGAATGGTAAATTAATAGTCATTGTTTTGAAAAAAAAAAAATGCCTTTGAAAATTATCTGCGATGGGAAACCTAAAAATGCACAGGAGAAATTTTGCTGGCTTCTTAAATATATATATAATTTGTTTGGCGAATCATGATTAGTTGTTGGTGGGAAGGACAGATTATATATTTCAATTTTGTTTGAATTAATGTAGAAACTTGCCTATTAGAGGTGTGAAAATTTAGATATATGCGGATGTGTATGAGTACGTCTTTCTTATTTTGCGTATGCAGATATCCGATACATCTCTATTGTCTATCATTCTAAACTAGTTTTTTTTACACTTTACCCAATCATTGATTATTTTTATTTACTTGTATGTAAAATATATACCTAGCATGCAACACAGTTAAGCTTAAAACCCACTTTTGCATTTATATATATATATATAATTTTTTTTTTTCAGGGGTTCAGCAAGTGTCTCCACACAGGAAGCTCTGGCATTAGGTGTCACCCAGTTTGATGAGCCTTATTGCCTTCAGTTGTCAAGTGACTTGCCACAGGGCATCTGGAGGACCTCATAATTTACTGTGGCCATATCAATAAATTTAAGGCCATGATATACAGCAGCTTTGCATGACACCCATATAGAGGGTCAACAGTATGGTTTCAGTCTTGGGATCTACTTTTAAGCAGCTGAGGCTTTTATTAACCAATTCACAAATTGCCAAGCGGATGAAGTGGTAATGTTCTAAGAGTGGTGTAGCTGGTGGTTCATTATATGGATGGATTTTATCTTTCTCATTTCTGTTAATATGTTACCTCTTGCATGAACTTCATTTTGCTCAGAATTAGATGGCATGGTCATCTGCAGGATACTGTTTGCACTGCACAAAGTATGACATATCTTCACAGTATTGGCAACTGAGAAAGTGTCAGTGGGAGGGTCTTGCAGTGAGGTCATGTCACAGATGTGTACTGTACAAACGTTTGAATTACATATGAAGCTAAACAGCTTTTTCCAATATCTAGGTCATATTTATGTAGTGAATTTTGACAAGCTTCATCCCATATACTGTACTTACTAGTTGTTACTGCTGCACTTATCCCTAGTGTAGTTTTGACAATTCACTGTTAAAAATATTAGCGAAAACCCCACTATAAAACTGCTACGTTGTTTCATTGTTTTAACGTTGTTGATATTTAATGATTTCCAGTTCTGCATCCACATTTTTTTTTTTTTTTCTGTAAGACTGACAGACAATACGAGTATTAAAGAACTGTGCACTTACTTCCCTGTGCAATAGAAAAAGCTAGTGCCAAAGATACTGACTGGATACAGTACAGTAACATCATCAAAGTTAATCTTATTAGTAACCATTTTGGTATTGCATGTGCCATTCAATGATTTTTCAAAAATCTTAACATTCCAACACAAAACTTATATCCAATTCTTATATTAATGGTATATAAAAACTGACACGGTCAAAGACACTTGCAGTGTTTGGGTTACTTTGTGGAGATGTTGCACGAACCATTGGCTTCGTCAATCCATTACCATGAATTAGTGGTGAAAGACTAGGTGAACAGTCCCTCATCACTTTTTTTTTTAAATCCCTGAATACCCTAAATTACCTCGTCTAGTCTTGCACTGGATTGATAAAGCTACTGGTTGGCAAGATGTCCCTGCAAAATTACCTTTGTTGCACTTGTCTTTATCTTGTATGACTCATTTACCTCTATAGAGGCTCCAAATGTCTTTCACCTCTAATCCTTCGTCAGAATTGACTTTGATATTCTAAATGAGACTTATTTGCCAGGCTATTTATTAGTGAAAATGAGCCTCACAGGCTAGGTGCTGTCAGGATTTTTAAGAGTTGAAACTAAAAACTCAGAATTTGCAAGTTTCATTGTCTATGAACCCTGGTTGCTATAGCCTAGTCTTTTCTTCTACATACCCATTAGGGAAGGTCAAGAGTATTTATTGAGATACAAATTGTATTTTAGAATCATGTCACCAAATCTGTATATAAATAAATAAATATATATTTCCTGTACATTATTGTTTTCTAAACCTACACAGGAAAGTATTGGTGCTACATTTCTTGTTCATGAATGTTTCAATTTGTATAGTCATGGCCTCAAAAAACCATATCATTTAGGTACTCAAATTAATTTTGTTTTGTAGGTTAATAACTTCACTGATTTTAACATTTACTACACAAATATGTTACAAGTGACACAGCCATTAGATGATACAAGGTTACACCAGGATGCATTGCAGGTTTTACCAGCCTACCACAGGCAGATTCTACCAACTCAGCAAATGTTTCCCCACTTTTAACCGATGTTACATCGATGTCTTGTGCTATATAAGACTGCTTATTCTAGCTATTTTATTCTAAAAGAGTAGCTAGAATAAGCAGTCTATTATATAGCACAAGACATCCACATAACCAGTTAAAAGTGGGGTAACATTTGTGGAGTTGGTAGCATCTACCAGGGGGAGGAGCCTGGTAAAACCTGCAATGCATCCTGGTGTAACCTTGTACCATCTAATGGCAGTGCCACTTGGGTAGCAATCATTTGGCAAAGGTTCTGTATATATGCCTGCCTGATTTCTGTGGCATGGTGTTAGTGATTGCTATTGTGGCTGTTTCCAAGTACTGTATTTGCATCTGAGCAAATCATCTTGAGCTATCAGTCTGGCTTTGTTGAACATCATGTTCACCCAAGTTCTGTGTAGGCATTATATTGTTCATCCTGGCTGCAGGTGTGTTTTTGAAGTCTGACTTCAAAAATAACATGCCCACAGCCAGGATGGCCAAAATAGTGCCTGCATACAACTTAGAGCAGCATAAGGATAGTTAAAGATAATTTGTACAAATGCAAGTGCTCGGAAGCAGCCATGATAGCAATCGCAAACACCACACCACAAACATTAGACAGTATATCCAGAAGCCTGGCCAAATGACTGCTTCCTAACAGTGAAATCACCACCCTTAGAGGATACACCAGGGAGCACTGCAGGGCTACCTACTGTCCCATCCCAGGTAGTTGTGAATTTGTTACCCCCAATTTTGACTTACATCTGACCTCTTGCTTATTCAAGCTACTCTGTATTAGGACTAGTCACTTGTGGCAAAAAAAGTTTCCTTATTAGTAAATGTATTAATCAGTGCACATATCTTTTTACCTACAACTTGTCAGTATCACCATACCAGTTCCACTACTTCTCTCATCTAAAATGTTGTGCCAACTCCTGTCAAGGCAGATCCAAGGTAGAAAATACATCATTAATTCTCTGCATAGTAGGAATAAAACATCTTAATTTAAATTTACAACAGCAGCTAATACATAAAAATGAATAGTGTCTGGGAGTGTAACTTGCTAATACACCCTAACTAGCCCTATCCCACTGACTTGGAAAAGAGGCTGTCAAATACCCCCACCATCATGCCCTCATTACTGCCAAGTTCCCAAAAGTTTTCAGCAGGCTAAGTCTAATTGTTTTATACAACACACCAAGTCTAAGCAGCTACCAAAATATTCATTAGAAAGTGTGAGAAAGAAGGCAGAGGTTAGAAACCTTTTGATAAGTCTGTAATACATGGCTGGTGAGGGGCTCTTGATTTAGGGAATTGGATCTGTGCTCCAGTTCCCCGAATTAAGCCTGAATGCCTTCCACATCCCCCCCGCCAGGCGCTGTATAATCCTATGGGTTTACCGCTTCCCCCTTGATTATAATAATAATAATGTAATACATGGCAACAAGTAACACTAAATTGAGTCTGAATTTGTTGGTGTGTTTTTAACAGCTAATTTAATAAGTCTAACAGTTAAACCTGGATTATAAAGTACACAAAATTTTTCAACAGCTGCCAGAATGTTGATAAATGAAATCTGTAGATTGGGAAAGGGGGGGGGGGGATAATAGAAGAATGGAATTTAAGCATACCTCAAGACGCATACACTGGGATATGCCAGGAAAAAGCTCCATGTAACCTGTGCAGGCATAAATACTGTACTACAGTTAGCAAATATATTTGGAGGACTTTCCCTAATTCTGAATGGCTAAATTCTGGAAAAATAAGGGCTTGCCTAAAACGACCTAAAATCACATTAATTTTACACAAAACAGCACTTAAACATGCCAACAGCATTAGTTACAAAAATAACACATGCATTGCCCCCACTCACCAGTATACAGGTGATTACTGTAGATCTGCTAAATCCTATTCAATCATCTCTTCCTCGGCATGTGTTGCTGTTTGTTGTTGACTGACCACATTCTCTTTCTACTCCCTGTCTCAATGCATGCAAGTGGATGCAAATGGTGGCTTTTGTGTATTACTACCGTATACCAGTGTATCATTATTTAAACCCCTTTTAACATATCGCAATTTTACTTTTGGTTTTTATATCTGATAATGTTCCGTTAATATCAGTATCGTGTAAGGTGAGTAAAAATATTACCAGGTAGTCTGACTGTAAATAAGCGAATTAGCCTACTGATACTACCCATAATCCATCTGATTCCAATGCCTAAACTTTAACTGCTGTTTAGTATGGAAACACTTCTCTAGGCTTAGGTTGAGGCCTATGAGCAACGTAACCTTCGGTCTCCAAGACGCTGGGTAAATTTTCAAGGCATATTTTGGGAAAAAATAGTATCTTCGTCGCTGTAAAATATGGTATATACGTGTGAAGAGGAAACAAATAGTATTACTTAGTGAAAGGTTAGGAGCACAGGTCCAGAACAAAGATGACTCAGAAATGGTGATGCATAATACAGAAGTACAAGATGTATATCTAGAGCAAGAAAGACAAACTGAAAAAAATATATGCAGAACAGGACATACGTACAAGCGATCCAGAAAATGTTGCAATAAACAAGGCTGAAATATAAGATGTAAATATCTACACATCAAAAAGTATTTAAAGATGAGTGCAGGTATTTTCTCAGAGTTGTGCAAAGCATTACTAAGTTGCCCAAAGTAGAATTACGTATAAAGAGGATAAAGGCATAGTAATAATTTTAGAGGAGACCATCGAAGGAAAAAAAAAAAAGAGGGAAACAGAAAATTAAGAATACAGACAAACAAGGGAATACAGGTAGAAGTGAAGACACAGATTGTGTAGAGGACTTTTGTGTGTATATACTTAAAGCTAGCTCTAACAGAGTTGGTTATCACCTTGAATCTGCCAGCCCCCACAAACTTTTCACAGAAATAGTGAGCATTTCCTCCACACGTAGCTGTCAAACCAAGTACACTGACTACTTAACCAATATGATGTCCATTTCCAGGCAGAATGATCGTGCTTACTTAGTGACTAAATGAAGCATAGATTAACACGAGGGGCTTACACAGCGTGTGGCAAATGACACTCTGACAAGCTGGGACTAACTCCAACTAAGCTCTATACCATTACCACTATACTTCAATTATTCAAGTTCCTACCTACCTTGTACAATATTGTGGACTGCAATCTTTATGATGAACAAGGTGAGGAAATTGGACCTATCAATCAGTCCCCAAGTCTTCCTCTACCTAGTGGCTGGGTGTCTTGTACCTGTGATGTCAGTATACAACACTCATTAACTTCTGTCTGTCCTGCTAAATGATCAGTGGTTGTAGCATCTGAATGTCATCAATCATTATAATTGACACAGCTTAACACATGCACCAGCAATGCCCACAAGATCAATCCACTTTGTTGATTGTGAACTCTGGCTTAAGTTCAGAAAGCCCACTGATAACACTTAATAAGTCTCAGTACTTTCTCACGCCCATTGCTGAATAGACGTTCGAGCACACATTAAACGCCAGGGAATATACTAATCTGTCCCATCCCTCCTGTTGGAGACACATTGCAGTGTGCTCTACAAGACAAAACCGAAGACTGCTCAGGGCATTTCACACTCAGTTGGCATACAAGTGCTGGCCCTGCCTTGGGGCCCCAATATTGGCAATTAAGAGTGCTCTTAACATGTGAGAATGGCAGTCGCTAGGACATTCACAAACTCAAGGTTCTGAGACTTGGTGATAAATAGATCTCATTTCTAATATTACCAGTGTCTTTAATCAATCAATTTTTTTTTTATGGTGCAGACATAACACTCTACTTGCCTCTCAATATGAGGGAAAGTTAATTACCTCCCCCTTATACACCCACTTGGTCAGAGTGCATAAAGTGTTTATTAGGGGGCTCTCAAGTGTTGGGAGCTCCCCGAGACTGCATTAACCCTGTCTATTTCAGTCTTCATTCAATCCTCTTTTATCTCTACAAGTGGCAGCCCATAACTCCTAGGTCAAATTACAGTGCAATATTTTAAAATGTACTCTATATTACAGTACCCCTTCAAGTGATGTGTTTTACTGCTGAAGAGCTCATGATACAAGGAATTGGAGTTACCCTCTCTTGGGTCAAACTTGATTACCTTCCATTCCCTAGGCACTGTAAGAACCCCTTTAGGTTTATCGTTTTGCCTGAATACAGCATAATATAATTTGTGTACTACTGTCGAGGTTTTTTTTTTTTTATGTGAACAACCACGCTTGAGTGTTGGACAATTGACTCCTGTCATTCAGCTGTTCCCTAGTCAGTGTTACATCTTCAGTAGACACAAATAGGTGTTTTTTGTGCTGGGTGTTCTGGGCAAAGTCTTGCACTCTACGTCCAGAGTTCTCATCTTTCACACAGGGATTTACCTTTTCCTGACTATTTCTTGGTTGCGACTCAGTACATGAACTTGTGATGTCACTGGTAATGTTGTTAGTCAGAATTAGTGACCAAGATACTAACGTCCCACATCACAAAAATCTTTGAGAGGGTTCCAAGAAACAATATTGCCACCCACTTAGATACCCACCAGTCACACAACCCAGGGTAGCATGTGCTCAGAGCAGGTCGCTCCTGTCTGATCCAACTACTGGACCATTATGACATGGTCTTGGAGGCTATGGAGGACAAACACAATGCAGATGTAGTATACACAGACTTTGCGACAGTCTTCGACAAGTGCAATCATGGTGTAATAACATACAAAATTCGCGATAAAGGAACAACAGGAAAAGTTGGTAGATGTATTTATAACTTCCTAACAAATAGACACAAAGAGTAATAGCAAAGAGAGTAAAGTCAGAGGCGGCTACAGTGAAAAGTTCTGATCCACATGGCACAGTATTTGCTCCCATCCTGTTCCTCATCCTCATATCTGACATAGAGATGTAAGCCACAGCACCGTGTCTTCCTTTGCCGATGATACCTGAATCTGCGTGACAGTCATCCATCGAAGACTGCAAAACTCCAAGCAGATATCAACCAAATCTTTAAATGGGCCGCAAAAAAAACAATATGAAGTTCAATGGAGAAAAATTTCAATTACTCCGATATAGAAAACTCGAGAAAATTAAAATTGAATCGGTGTATAAAACAAATTCTAACCACACAACAGATTGCAAAACTAATGTGAAGAACCTAGAAGTGATAATTTCAGAATATCTCACTTTAAAATTTCATAACAATGTATCTACCACAGCTGCTAGGAAAATGATAGGATGGATAATGAGAACCTTCAAAACTAGGGATGCCAAGCCTATGTGATTCTCTTCAAATCACTTCTCTATAGGCTGAAATATTGCTGTACACTAAGGGTCCCTTTCAAGGGACCTAGAGATTGTACAGAGAACTTTTATGGGACGTTTAAGCACGATAAAGCACCTAAATTACTAGGAACGGTTGAAGTCCCTTGGTTTGTACTCCCTGGAATGCTGGTGAGAAAGGTACATGATAATATACACTTGGAAAATCCTAGAGAGACTAGTCCCAAATCTGCACACGAAAAATCACTCCCTACGAAAGCAAAGGACTCGGCAGGCGATGCAACATCCCCTCAATGAAAAAAAGCAGGGGCACCATGAGTACGCTAAGAGAAAACACAGTAAGAGTCAGTGGCCCAAGACTGTTCAACTGCCTCCCAGCAGTTGAATAGTCTTGGGCTTCTGACTCTTACTGTGTTTTCCTTTAGCATACTCGTGGCGCCCCTGCCTTCATCAAATTCAACTTGAACAACAAGTACATCAACTGGGATCAGGTAAACCATGTCCTTAATGAAGCATGTTGGGAAGATATCTTAAACAGCATGCATTCAAACTGGTGCCTTGAAAGGATCAACTTGCTGGCAGCTGAAGTATGTTCAAGGTATAATCCCCTAATAAAAATGAATAGTAAACTGGAGAGTGGCACTCCCTCTACAGGAGAAGGCGAAGAATCACCGAGATCCTCGAGGAGGCTAGGTTATCTGAAACACGGAAGGAAGCACTAACTAGGGAAGTGGAAAATATTGAGCTTAATAATAATAATAATGGATAATATCTTTATTTCTACATGTACAAGGGATACAGGCCTAGCTGACATCAATGACATACTACTACATAGAAAGCCGCTTGCTATGCAGAGCATTCGGGCAATTTAGGTCAGTTTTGTCCCAGGATGCGACCCACACCCGGGTACCTACTTTACACTGATGGGTGAGCAAGGACAGCAGGTGTCTTATGGAAACACGTCCTGTTTTCCAGCCGTACCAGAGGTTCGAACTCCGGACCTCAGTGTGTGAGCTGTGTGTGCTAGTGATCGAGCTATGGGACACCGTAGCTCGTTAAATGATTTATACTGTATCCAGGAGAGACAGAAAGAGTTAAAAGCAATTTGTGAAATCAAAAGAAATTCAAAATATTTCTTTTCATATGCCAAAAACAAGCCAAAAATCACATCTATAGTATCGGGCCCTTGCTCAGACAAGATGGAACTTATAAACACAGATGACAACAACAAATAATTAAGATAATGAAGTCTCAATATGATTCTATGTATAGCGAGTCATTAATCAGCCTAAAAATCGACAATCCAAATCATTTTTTCCATGAATGAGCCTCAAAACCCTGTAAATTTATGCCAAATTTCTGACATAACCTTAACTCCATTGGACTTTGAAAAAGCCACTGACAACATGCCCATACACTCATGCCCAGACTCATGGAACTCCGTGTTCATCAAGAACTGCAAGAAACCCCTTTCGCGTGCCTTAAGTATGCTATGGAGAGGGAGCATAGACACGGGTGAAATCCCACAGTCACTAAAAGCAACGGATATAGCCCCACTCCATAATAATAATAATAATAATAATAATAATAATAATAATAATAATATCTTTATTTACTACATGTACATGGTATACAGGCCTAGCTGACAACAATGGCATACTACTGCATAGAAATCCCCTTGTTATGCTCAGCATTTCGGGCAAATTAGGTCAGTGTCCCAGGATGCGACCCACACCAGTTGACTAACACCTAGGTACCCATTTTACTGATGGGGAACATAGACAACAGGTGGAAAGAAACACGCCCAATGTTTCTACTCTGGCTGGGAATCGAACCCAGGCCTCGACGTGTGAAGCGAGAGTGTTAGCCACCAGGCCACCAGACTGCAAAGCAATAGCTAAGAACTCTAGACTAATAGCTCTAACATCCCACATCACAAAAAATCTTTGAAAGAGTTCTGTGGAAAATACTATATATATTTTCCAGAAATACAGTAGTTACATGTAAATAGATGGCCATACTGTATTTAATAATATTTATGTCATAGAAAACGGAAAGCCTGCATCTGCGCAGGACAGTCGCCATTTTGTTGTTTGAATTGAGTAACAGACATTAGTAATGGGAAGAATTTTTCGTGCTCTAGAGGTTAAAATTGGGCTGACACCTCTCAAATAGGAGACGAAATTGTTGGATGTGCATTCCTGCATAACTTGAGATATCATGCGACTGGACAAGACAGCTCCAGGAACCCCAGCTAAGTCATGTCTATATTATGTTTATAGTTCTGGCCAGTATTATCATGAATGTAGACAGGGTGGTTTTCTGAGTATGATACACCTTAATCTCCAGTCAAATTGGTGAGTTTTTAAGATATATTTTCCTTCTGTTATGTAATTGTATATATATAACCATTTATTATTTTTAATATACAGTCCACAAAATTTATATATTTACCAGTATTCCTGGTTATACATATTTCATTGGTAATTAATAGGTCCAGAGCAACTTGTGGATATGACAGTGGTAGGTATCGAAGGGGGACATTTTTTGCGACCTAGGTGTCCCAAATTCCTACTTGTCTAACTGATAAATAATAATCTTTGTTCATTTATTGTTATGTACATAATGATACATCCAAGTAAATGCAATTTTCCACATTTAATTTGCCCGTTGGTCCTTCTTGAACTGGAGGTAATTAGTGAAGTCATTAATTAGTTAATTAATAATTATATGTGAAATGACAGGAGGAGGTGGATGTTAAGTCCACAAATTTACTTAATGTGTAGTGGATTATAATTATTACAATATTAATTTGGATAAGTCAAGTGTGGCTAAAGATTATATTAATGTGTATAAGTGTATGTGTAATTGATAAGCCAAGTGTAGCTAATTATATTAATGTGTATAATATTAAATTTGCAAAGCCAAAGTGGCTAGAATTTATATTAATGTATTTGTACAATATTAATTTGATAAAACAATTCTGGCCAAGATTTATATCAGTGTACGTGTAATTGATAAGCCAAGTGTTGCTAATTATATTAATGTGTATAATATTAATTTTGCTATGCCAAATTCTGGCAAGGATTTATATTAATTTGTATAATAATTTTGATATGCCAAGGCTGGCTAAAGGTTTGTACTCATGTACATTTAAAATTTATATTACAATCTTTTATATGTAATTGCTAAGCTCAAGTAGCTAGGATTTATTCAAAGGTAAGTTGTATCAATGTTGTAAGTTGTAATCAGTGTTATTAACTGAGTTAAATTTAATACATTGCATCATGGCTGAAAATGAGGAAATTAATAAAGAAGACAAACATATGGAATATAGAGCAAAAAAAGCATCACTGCAAGCTAGAAAAAGGCATGTAACAAAAGTATACAATAAATGTTTGGAATTAATGAATCAAGAAACTGTGAATACTGACGATTTAAAATTGTATTTAGATGCTTTAGGGAATAGATATGATTCATACAAATTATATTACAACAAATATGAAGGAGATTTGTTAGTAAACTGTGTAGATGAGACTGAAGTAGATCTTATGATTAATCAGTATTATGAATTAGAGGAAAAGATTCTTTCTTGTAAAAGTCAGGCCTTGAATAAATTAAAATGTGTAAACCAGGCAGTTAATCAGTCTGCTCCAACAAATAATATGTCTTTGCCAAAACTCCCAGAATTATGTTTACCTGTGTTTAATCCTGGAGAAAATTGGGAGGAATTTTGGTCAATTTTTAAAGCAGCTGTGCATGACAGGAGTGACCTAGCCTGTGTAACTAAATTATTTTACCTCAAAGGACAGGTAAGAGGAGATGCTCACATACTCATACAAGCCTTTCCCAATGTAGATGACTCTTACAAGGAAGCAGTTGACTTGTTGGAAGTCACTTATGGTAATATAGAACAAAGTAGGTTGGATCTAGTGAATATCACTGTTAATTTAAAATCTCCGGATCACACTTACGAAGGTTTACAGCAGTTTAGAGTTAAACTGGAGAGCACTCTCAAAACTTTAAGTAATAAATATAATCTGAAGGAATCAGACTGGTTATTGAGTGCCATAGTACAGAATAAATTCAGCTGTAAAACACTTGAATGGCTCTCGAACAAGTATCACAAGAGTTATTTTGGTCTGGAGGAAATAAGACTAGGTCTACAAGAATTAATTGTTCAGTTGCAGACCAGCCAACCAACTCATTTTAAAGATGCAACACACAATAACTCTGAGGTATCTGTCAAGTTTCACAAAAGGAAAAATTATCCCAATGGTAATAATCAAAATTCATTTCCTAAAAAGAGTTGCATAGGTGCATATCAAGTAGCAGGAATCAGAAATAATGATTCTCCACAAGGTAAGAAGAATAAGTACCCTCCTAAGAGTAGACCAGTTAATAAGAAACCAGTCAAAGAAAAGAGAGATTGTCTCTTCTGCAAGGGTACTCATTTTTCTAAGAATTGCAATGCATACAAATCATGGAATGATGAAGTTGAAAGATTGGAGGAACTTTACAGATGTATCAGGTGTTTAGGTAATCACAATGTAAAGGATTGTTATGCCAAATTAAACTTCTGTTATCAATGTCACAAAGGAAGACACCATATAGTCATGTGTAAGGGTCTATATGATAATGTTGATAATAATGATAATGTTGACAATCCTGACACAACAGTGGCTAATGTAAAAATTGCTGCTAATGTTAATAATGATGGTTTTGCTGAAGTAGCCTTGCCTGTGTTACAGGTAAAAATTGATGATAAAAGGCATAAATCAAAAAATGTAACTGCATTGTTAGACCAGGGATCCCAACATACTTTTATTAAATGTCTGAATGGTATGAAAGTACAGTTGGGAGATCCTACAACTCTAAAATTATCTGGTTTTCTCTCAGATAAAAGAGCTCATTTGTATGACACTGTTTATGTAACTGTCAGGTTGGGCAATGAGAAAAAACGTGTTAATGCAGTAACTGTAGATAGACTTCCAGAGAAAATATCTACAGTAGGACTTAGTAAAGCTACAGAAAGACTTTCACATAATGTAAATTTAGCACCTTCTGGTGTAAGTGATGATTCTGTAGGCCCAATAAATATTTTGATAGATATGACTATTATGCCTCCTTTGTAAAGGGTATGGTAAAGAAATGTGGTGTCACCCTTTTGAAGACTGCAGGAGACCATGTAATGTATGGTAGGATTCCTTGTAATAATAATTCATGACTAGAGGAAACTACAAATACCATAACTGTGTGTCTTACTCATAAAATCGTACCCCAGTATAATTCTTCCATAGAGGATGGTGTTGAGCCAGTGCATAAATTGTGGGAATTAGACAACACTGGAATAAATGTAAATGAAGAAAGTCCAGACGATTCTTTTACTTAGGAGCAATACCTGAGAGATGTAAAATTTGAATCTGGACAATACTGGGTGCGACTTCCGTGGAGACTGAACCATCCAGAATTGCCCACTAATTACAGAATGGCATATGGACAGTTAAAGGCTCAGCTCCACGAACTGAGTAAAACACCAGAATTATTAACTGCCTATAATGATATAATTGCTGAGCAGTTAATTAATAAATTTATATTAGAGGTACCTCCTGAGCAAGCCAAAATTTATGGTCACTATTTGCCACATCACGGAGTGAAGAAGGATTCTAAGACCACTCCTTTGAGGATTGTTTAATTGTAGTGCCAGGAGTAACAAAAATGTACCTAGTTTAAATGACTGTTTGATGACAGGTCCGTTGTTGACGGAAAAATTAGGAGATATCTTATTAAATTTCAGAGTGAAGCATTATGCCTTTACGGCTGACATAAGTAAAGCTTTCCTAAGAATGGGTTTTCAAGAGGCTGACCAGGATTGTACCCGCTTCTTATGGCCTGAGAATCCTAGTGACCCACTTAGCCCTCTGAAAACCTTTCGCTTAAAGAGCGTATTATTTGGTGCTACATCCAGTCCGTTCCTACTTCAAGCGACGATAAATGCACACCTTAAACATATGGAAAGTCCATTGAGTAAAGTAATGAGCAAACAATTTTATGTGGACAATTTCCTGGGTGTGACGTCAACTGAAGAGGAACTGTTAATGACTTATGGAGAGGCTAATAAAATAATGCAAGGTGCAAATATGCCTCTGAGGTAATGGAATAGTAATTCATCCAAATTAAAGGACAAAATAAGTAAAGATTACCATGGAGATGAAGTGCCAAAAGGTAGTAATGTATTGGGTTTAACTTGGGATACTGAGAGAGATTTGTTAATGTTAAAACCTAATAATTACAGTATGCCCAATAAATTAACTAAGAGAGTTTTGCTTGCTGAAGTTTCCAAATGTTTTGATCCACAAGGTTTAGTGTCACCCCTTACTATAAGAGGGAAATTATTAATTCAGAAAGCATGGAAACTTAAATGTGCTTGGGATGAAATTCTACCTGAGGAATTCATTAACAGGTGGGATGAATTAATTGGTGATTATGAAAAAATTCCAATGTTGGAGTTCCCATGCCAGGTGGCCAATCCAAATGGGAAAAATGTATTCCACATTTTTTGTGATGCTTCAAAATTGGCATATGGAGCAGTTGCTTACCTTCAATGTAATAGTGTTATTTCTCTTGTTATGTCTAAGGCTAAAGTGTCTCCAATTAAATCACGCACCTTGCCTCAGTTGGAATTAACAGCCATTTATGTAGGTGTCAAATTAGCTAATTATATAAGACATAAGTTGCAGGAGATAAATATTAGCGACACTGTAATTTGGTCTGATAATGAGGTATCCTTACAATGGATTCGTAATGGAAACAGTAAAATTGTGTACGTACAAAACAGAGTCGCTGAAATTAATCAGATGCAAGAGAAGTATAATAGTCTGGATCAGCATATGTTAACATTTAATCATATACCTGGTGAGGAGAATCCAGCTGATTTCTTGTCTCGAGGTTTATCTTATGCTAAATTTGTAAATGCTGTATCATGGTTTAAAGGACCGAGCTGGTTGGTAAATAAAGCTAATTGGCCTGTACAAAAGGCGTATATTGCTCCTGTTGAAATTACTGTGACCACCACTCCAATAGTTTGTCCTCCCTTAACCATTGATATAAGTAGGTATTCTTCTTTACTTAAACTAATCAATGTAACTAAGTTGGTGTTTAAATCCCACAGTCACTAAAAGCAACGGATATAGCCCCACTCCATAAAGGTGACTGCAAAGCAATAGCTAAGAACTCTAGACTAATAGCTCTAACATCCCACATCACAAAAAAATCTTTGAAAGAGTTCTAAGTGGCATCATTGTAACTCACCTGGATTCCCTAGAATTGAACAATCCAGGGCAGCATGGGTTCAAAGTAGGTCGCTCCTGCCTCTCACTGGACCACTATGATAAGGTCTTGGATGCACTGGAAGACCAACACAATGTAGATGTAGTATACACAGATTTTGCAAAAACCTTTGACAAGTGTGATCATGGTGTAATAGCGCACAAAATGCGCGCTAAAGGGATAACTGGCAAAGTGGGCAGATAGATCTTCAACTTTCTAACCAGTCGAATATAAATAGTAGTGGTAAACAAGAGTTTAGTCGGAGGCTGAAACAGTGAAAAGTTCTGTTCCACAAGGCACAGTACTCGCCCCCATCCTGTTCCTCATCCTCATATCAGACATAGACAGAGATGTAAATCATAGCACCCTGTCATCCTTTCTAGACGCTACTAGAATCCGCATGAGACTGACATTCACCGGGGACACAGTAAATCTCCAAGCAGATATAAACCAAGGTTTCCAATGGGCAACGGAAAACAGTGTGATATTCAATGAGAGCTAATTTCAACTACGACGTTATGGAAAACTAGAGGAAATAAGAACTAGAACTGAGTATATTACAAACTCATCATACAACAGAGCAGAAAAGCAGTGTGAAGGACTTGGGAGTTAATGTCAGAGGATCTCACATTCAAGGATCACAACAGTGTCACTATCACATCTGCTAGGAAAATGATAGGATGGATAATGAGAACCTTCAAGACAAGGGATGTCAAGCCAATGATCCTTTTTAAATCACTTGTTCTCTCTAGGCCGGAATACTGCTGTACACTAACATCTCCATTCAAGAAAAGTGAAATAGCAGATCAAGCGAATGTACAGAGAACTTTTACTGAACATATAAGTTCCGTCAAACATCTTAATTACTGGGAACACTTGGAATCATTTGGCTCGTACTCACTGGAGCGCAGGCGAGAGATATGCATCATAATCTACCCCTGGAAAATCCTAGAGGGACTGGTCCCAAATCTACAGACAAAACTCACTCCCTACTGGGCAGACGGTGCAACATACCCCCCAATGAAAAGTAGGGGCGCCATTAGTACACTAAAAGAAAAGACAGTAAGTGTCCCGGGCCCAAGACTGTTCAACAGCCTCCCACCAGGCATAAGGGGAATTACTAACAGATCCCTGGCTGCCTTCAAGAGGAAGCTGGACAGACACCTAAAGTCAGTACCCAATCAGCCGGGCTGTGGTTCGTACGTTGGACTACGTGTGGCCAGCAGTAACAGCCTGGTTGATCAGGCCCTGATCCACTACGAGGCCGGGTCAAGGACTGGGCCGCGGGGGCGTTGACCCCCGGAACACCCTTCAGGCAGACTCCAGACAGGCAGAACACAGATGGTGTAATTACTGATTACTGTATAACCAAATAATCTTCAAGCTATAACTCCAGGGCCAAGAGACAGAGTTTCAAGGAACTAGAAGTTCTTTCCATGTTAGACCAGGAGCTACAGATCGCCCAAAACTCTTCCTCCACGTTAGACCATGAGCTAGAGCTCGCCCAAACCTCTCTATTGTTAGACCAATAGGTAGAGCTCACCCAAAACTCGTATGCATGTTCGTATGTTTGTGTGTGATTGTGTACTCACCTATTTGTGGTTGCAGGGGTCGAGACTCGGCTCCTGGCCCCGCCTCTTCACTGGTAGCTACTAGGTCCTCTCTATCCCTGATCCATGAACTTTATCATACCTCGTCTTAAAACTATGTATGGTTCCTGCCTCCACTACATCACTTCCCAGATTATTCCAGAGTGTGTACTCACGTAATTGTGGTTGCAAGGGTCGAGACTCAGCTCCTGGTGTGTGTGTGTGTGTGTGTGTGTGTGTGTACTCACCTATTTGTACTCACCTATTTGTGGTTGCAGGGGTCGAGTCCTAGCTCCTGGCCCCGCCTCTTCACCGGTTGCTACTAGACCCTCTCTCTCCCCGCTCCATGAGCTTTATCAAACCTCGTCTTAAAACTGTGTATGGTTCCTGCCTCCACTACGTCATTTTCTAGGCTATTCCACTGCCTTACAACTCTATGACTGAAGAAATACTTCCTACTATCTCTCTGACTCATTTGTGTCTTCAACTTCCAATTGTGGCCTCTTGTTTCTGTGTCCCCTCCCTGGAACATCCTGTCCTTGTCCACCTTGTCTATTCCACGCAGTATTTTATATGTCGTTATCATGTCTCCCCTGACCCTCCTGTCCTCCAGTGTCGTCAGGCCGATTTCCCTTAATCTTTCTTCATAGGACATTCCCCTTAGCTCTGGAACTAACCTTGTTGCAAACCTTTGTACTTTCTCTAGTTTCTTGACGTGCTTTATCAAGTGCGGGTTCCAAACAGGTGCTGCATACTCCAGTATGGGCCTGACATACACGGTGTACAGTGTCTTGAATGATTCCTTACTAAGGTGTCGGAATGCTGTTCTCAGGTTTGCCAGGCGCCCATATGCTGCAGCAGTTATCTGATTGATGTGTGCTTCCGGAGACATGCTCGGTGTTATACTCACCCCAAGATCTTTCTCCTTGAGTGAGGTTTGCAGTCTTTGGCCACCTAGCCTATACTCTGTCTGTGGTCTTCTGTGCCCTTCCCCTATCTTCATGACTTTGCATTTGGCAGGATTAAATTCGAGAAGCCATTTGCTGGACCAGGTGTCCAGTCTGTCCAGGTCTCTTTGAAGTCCTGCCTGGTCCTCATCAGATTTAATTCTCCTCATTAACTTCACATCATCTGCAAACAGGGACACTTCTGAGTCTAACCCTTCCGTCATGTCGTTCACATATACATGTGTGTGTGTGTGTGTGTGTGTGTGTGTGTGTGTGTGTGTGTGTGTGTGTGTGTGTGTGTGTGTGTGCGCGCGCGCGCGCCCGCCCGCCTGTCTCCCTCATTTCGTTTCCTCGCTCATTCTCATTTCTCCTTTCCACTGCATTTCTTAATCTCTTATCCCTCCCTTTTGTTCTCTGACCCCTTTCCTTCTTATTCCAGTCTTGCACCCTCATTAGCTTAACAAACTTTGACAAGAGACATGGGGGAAGGAATTCAACTGCCACCCACGAATAACCTTTACTAATGCACCCTTCAGAAAGAAGGGGGGGGGGGGGTACCTTGATGATAGTGATGGCTCTTCAGCCATGGGACTAAATCTTCCCTTTCCCTTTCTTGAACCAAACTTGATTGCCTCCCGTCCCCAAGGCGTCGTATGAGCCTTTACAGGTTTAGCGTTTCCCCATGAATACAATGTTATTGGCAGATACAAAAGTCAATTATCAAGGTGATGGTGTGGGTTTTATATATTAAAACCGCTGTATGTCCCCCAATACCAAATCACCAGCCTATTAATTATTATTGTTGATGAATGAGGCGTTCGTGCAACACTTGGGTATCTATTGTGGAAACGTTTCGCCAGCCGGTGGCTTCCTCAGTCCAGTATAGAAAAGAATGGTTGTTAGGTAAGACACATATGCAACAGTTAGGTATCTTTATTTCGAAACGTTTCGCCTACACAGTAGGCTTCTTCAGTCGAGTACAGAAAAGTTGATAGAAGCAGAAGATACTTGAAGACGATGTAATCAGTCCATCACCCTGCTTCTATCAACTTTTCTGTACTCGACTGAAGAAGCCTACTGTGTAGGCGAAACGTTTCGAAATAAAGATACCTAACTGTTGCATATGTGTCTTACCTAACAATCTGTCGGTATTTTATACGATTTTAATGTTCATTCTGTCAGACACTGCAACACAAGGGTATCTTGGTACAGACCATCAACTTCGACCTCTACTAGTGAGAACGGCTGGGTTTGAGAGGGACCTGACCTCCCAAAGCAACCTACGTCTCACCTCCTGGCACTATATAAAGGCTCCATCCTGTCACTTCAACTTCATATTGTTTCAGACAACGGAACAATGCTCTTCTCCAGACTGAGGGACTGACCACCTCAAAACTTTAAGGGTGATGGACTGATTACATCGTCTTCAAGTATCTTCTGCTTCTATCAACTTTTCTGTACTCGACTGAAGAAGCCTACTGTGTAGGCGAAACGTTTCGAAATAAAGATACCTAACTGTTGCATATGTGTCTTACCTAACAATCTGTCGGTATTTTATACCATTTTAATAGAAAAGAATGGTTGACGATCAGGTTAGGTTTGGTTAGGTAAGGTTTGTATGGTATGGTATGGTATGGTATGGTATGGTATGGTATGGTATGGTATGGTAAGGTAAGGTATGGTAAGGTAAGGTAAGGTTAGGCAAGTCAGATTAGGTTAGGTTAGTCAGGTTAGGTTCGGTTAGGTGAGGTAAGGTTAGGCAAGTCAGGTTAGATTAGGTTAGGTTAGGTTCGGTTCAGTTAGGTAAGGTTAGTCTGGTTAGGTTAGGTTAGGTTAGTCAGGTTAGGTTAGGTTAGTCAGGTTAGGTTAGGTTAGTCAGGTTAGGTTAGGTTAATTAGGTTAGGTTAGGTTAATTAGGTTAGGTTAGTCAGGTTAGGTTAGGTTAGTCAGGTTAGGTTAGGTTAGGTTAGTCAGGTTAGGTTAGGTTAGTCAGGTTAGGTTAGGTTAGTCAGGTTAGGTTAGGTTAATCAGGTTAGGTTAGGTTAATTAGGTTAGGTTAGGTTAATTAGGTTAGGTTAATTAGGTTAGGTTAGTCAGGTTAGGTTAGGTTAATTAGGTTAGGTTAATTAGGTTAGGTTAGTCAGGTTAGGTTAGTCAGGTTAGGTTAGGTTAGTCAGGTTAGGTTAGGTTAGTCAGGTTAGGTTAGGTTAGTCAGGTTAGGTTAGGTTAGTCAGGTTAGGTTAGGTTAATTAGGTTAGGTTAGTCAGGTTAGGTTAGTCAGGTTAGGTTAGTTAGGTTAATTAGGTTAGGTTAGGTTAGTCAGGAAACAGGACAAGCGTTTCCCCGACACGGGTCTTAATCACGGGTCTTAATCATATATGACCCACAACTGGAGGTTTTGGTCGTCTGACCGAGGCCTTCCACTGGCTTACTTGTCCACCCCTTTAAAAAATTAAGATTATAATTATAATCATTCTAAGTAGCAGAAGGTGTTTGAGGTAATCAGCCCCTCAGCCTCAGGGACTGATTACCTCAGTAAAGATACCCAATAAATATACCCACAATAAAGATACTCAAGTGTCTCATTCACCAACTTGTCGGTTTTCTGAACCATTTATCTACAATTATTATTATTATTAATTATTATTATTATTGTTGTTGTTGTTGTTGTTGTTGTTTGGTTGGTTGGTTACATATTATATTCACGGGGAAGCGCTAAATCTGTAAGGATCATTCAACTCCTAGGGATCAGTTGATAATAAAATATCATCTAAGGAAGGGGAGGGTAGCTCCAGTTCCTGGGATCACGATACCTTCACCCAGCATTTAGGTACACCCCTTCTCTCTCACCCTTGAAGACACACACAGCAGCTGTCATCGAACAGTTTTTACACACCAGGCGTCATAGAGACAGTAATAAACTACTGCGAGCATTTAGAGACCAAGATAAGGCTTAGATACGTACCTACCAGAATAAAAAAAAAACGTTATACAACTTACCAAATTAGAAAATGTGAATCACACCAGCGCTGACACACAACACCACATAAACAGCGACGTTAAATATGGCTGCTCATGTCAGGGGGACTGAGGCGAGGCAAGCGTATTGTGTGAGGTTACTAATGGTGTTTAACACCGTATAGAAGGATACATTGCTGGTGATTATAACATTTTGTTAAGGAAACGTTTTGCCATCGATCATTGGATTGACAAAGCCAGCGGATGGCGAAACGTGTCGTTAATAAAATGCACTCGTTACCGCGCGTCTCTCTGTGACCAACCTTCACTTATAATTAGATCAAAGGTACTGGTATATAATATCGACAAGTTGATGTATAAGACACATATACAGCATCGGTATATCTGAGAGATGTTTCGCCCACCAGGGAGCAGTGATGGAACTGAGTTTTAAGAAGTATGTAGTACACTCAAGGGAAACTGAGTAGGTATTCGCCATAAACCCGCTAAACCCTCCCTCCCCTCTCCAAATGTGTGTATAGAAGCAGGAATCTAATGGTTATAATCATAAGCATTGGATTAACCCGAGGCCTTCAGCTGGGTAAGCCAGTGGATAACCACAAAAGCTCCAGCTGTGGGTCATCATATGACTAAGACCTGCGCCAGGAAACACTTGTCCTGTTTCCTGACGAACCTTTCCTAACCTAACCTATATTTACTTTGTAGAAACATAACAAAGGACATCTAATAACCGTCTTCATTAGTTGCCATTTTAATATAAATACTGTACATGAGAAACTGGAAATGAGAAGTAGGTACCAGCAGTGTCCTCCCTCCCCCCCCCCCCTCCATTTTCTACCAATAGCCAGGGTTTTTTTCAAGCTAATCAAATCAAATGACTGATAAAGATCCTCCCTGTTGGGCGAAACGTATCTCAGATAAAGATACCCAGATGTTGCACATATGTCTTATTTATCAACCTTCACTCGCTTATTTAACACTTGTCATGAATATATTCATAATAGACTCTGCTGATTGAGCTGCTGTCTGTCACCATATTTTTTTCGTTTTTTTTTATTGCCTATGAGCCTATGGGTTTTTTTATTATTGTATATATTGTAAATACAGTTATTGGAAATAATCTAAATCTAAACTTTGTCCTCATGACAGTGGAGAAACAGTGAAATACTCTAACACAAAAAAAATTTTAGGAAAAATCTTCCACCTTTTCAGAAAACCCCATCTTTCAAAATCTCAGTTTTTCATAATAAATTTCTACAAAACAGGATAAAGTGACTGGAAAAAACTGTGAAACAACATTTGATAATGCGAATGAAGCAATAATCGTGTCTAGAATAACCCTTGAAGAATACAATATCAGTTTGGACTAAAGTTAATTATCAGAAAAAATCAATGGGGAAGAGCCATTTCCGTAGCCTTGCTTTCGGTCATATCTAAAAGCATCAGTAGAACGAATGTTTAGCTAAATGAATGTATTATACTGCCAACTGAGAGATCGCTTTATTGAGAAATCGGTTGATGAAAGCCATTCTTCAAATTCATTATCAGCTATAGATAGAATTAGATATGTGTAAACTTTATACCAGCTGAAGAAATGGCAAAAATATTTCTAAGTTAGTTTAATATGTTTATTAAGCTCATCCCGAGGGCAGTAGTCAAATGATTATAGAAAGTACATGATGGGTCCAGGGACTGACATAACTTTTCTACTCCCAGAGCTCGGTCTTGGGCCAGGCTCGTCTGGTGATTGCATGGTCAACCAGGCTGTTGCTACTGGTGGCCCACTGGCCCACATATCTATCACAACCTGGTTAATTTACCACCTGTTGAAGACACTTGTCCAGTTTCCCCTTGTAGACTTCCACACATCCTAGTAGCGTTTCTGGTATCTTCTGGGGCCACGGACGTTGATACAATGTTTCTTTACTGTGCCCACTGCACCCTGCTTTTCACTGTGTTTATTTTGCACTTCTTTCCATATATCTCACTCTTGTATGTTGTTATGACAGTGTGCAAATTTGGGATAAGGCCCTAAATTACTTTCCAGGTATATATTATCATATTTAAGACTTTGAGGCATTCCCAGTAATTTAGATCTACTATTGGCTCTAAGCGGGCCGTAAATGATACCTGCATCTGTTCCAGCTCTGAATGGGGCCGTCAACTTTTTACTAAGTAATATTCCAAATGAGAGAGAACAATCGATTTGAAAAGTGTCACCACTGACATGATTTCCCTTGTTTAGAAAGTTCTCATTATCCACCCCGTCATCCTCCTAGCTGTCGTGACCTTGGTCTTATTGTGTACTTTGAGAGAAAGGTCAGCTACATAATTACTCCCAAGCTTTTACGTGTTAATTTCGTTCTATTTGACGATCTTGAGTTCTGTATAAAGTGTCCTTTTGAGTTTTTCTTTCCATAACTAAGCAGCTGGAACTTGCCACCATTAAACCGCGTATTGTTCTCCGCTGCCCTTGTGGGAATCATGCTTTCATCTTCCTGTACTTTTCAGTGTGTTCTACCGAGGTTGCTTTCATGCTTATTTTAGTGTCATCTGCAAATGATGATACAAAAATGTGATGAATGTTTTTCTCTGTCTGCTATGATGTTAAGAAAATTTTTTTTTTACCTAGCTGATGCTGGATATTGCTTTGTTTACTACTACTCTTTGTGTTATATGTGTTTTAACCTGAAAATCCACCTGTCTACCTTTCCCGTAATGCTGAAGACCCTCACTGTGTGCAATCAATCCATGATTGCATTTGTCAATGTACCGGTACGGAGGCCTAAGGAAAAAAAATCCTCCTAGTTTCCTCTGTATAGTATCAACTAACACATATAGTAAACTCATTGTGAAACATGTTTTCTGGTGGGAACTTGCTCAGAACTTCTGGGAGAAACGTAGGTGGGCTACGTGGGAATTTCATTTATGAAAAGTGGCAACAGTAAGATGATGATGGTTCACTGTGGCTGTGGCTGGCAGTCTTCACCTGGCGGAGGTAAAGGTGAGGTGTGTTGCTCGTGTAGCCTCCCGCTTATCACTGAACCTCTGCTCAAATTAACACTTGTGTTGCTATTACTAAGGAAGTGTTATTACTGAGGAATAAACTATGACAGCCTAACTTACAAGGTAAGTACCTGCCGATCATGTCTTCTTTCCTTCTCTGCTGTATTTTTTTTTCTCTGAGGCTTAATAAAACTTAAGTATAAAATACGTAGTAATTTGTGGTTATTACGTGTCCCCGTATTCCCTTCCAGCTCTACCTCAATGGATGCAAAAATATAGTCCAGTGCATTTGTATATCAACGTTGAAGATCTGAAACAAATAAGGAGATATTTACAAGTTATCACATAGAAACTTAATATCTCAATTTCTCCATTGAAAATAACAAGTTAGCAACTACACAGCTCAAATTGGAACCTTCCACTAAGAAACACTGAAAGTTTTAAGCCGATCAGAAAGAGCATTTTCTAGTTATCCCACAGGGATCAATATCCCAAAATACACCAGTACCTGGAGTTCGAAGCTTCTCAGCAGTTACATTCTCTAGTTATTGGCGTTGAAGGTTTAAAGCCGATCGGATGAGGCATTCACAAATAGCATGAAAACAGGCATTTCAATTTTGAGAAAATTGGCAAATTAGTACTTAAACAGTCAAAATTAATCCGAAATTTTGAGATACACCAGCATTTAGAGAAGCTAATCAGAAGAGGCATTATCCTGTTATCGCTCGAAATCCATTAATGTTTATTTATGAAATTAGCAATTTTGCATGTATAAAGCCTAAATTTATTGGGTACCCCGATTATAAGATACATCAGTAGTTAAATACTGAAGCAGTTTACCATAGGCATATTTTAAGTATTTCTCGGAAAAATACACAAGTTTAAAAATATAAGCGCAAATTTACACCTACATTCCAGTAACGATCCCAGTCCATTTAGGAAACCAAATCCGGGAATGATATATATATATATATATATATATATATATATATATATATATATATATTATATATATATATATATATATATATATATATATATATATATATATATATATATATATAATTAACCACAGGGTACTGGCACAGGCCAGCAGCTGCATGAACCTTTCCTTTCTTGCAGTACAGAAGCGTTGAAAAGTTGAAGCCGATCTGCTAAGGTGTATCAACTATAATCTTGGGAGAAGGAACAGAATTAGTCATCTACTTAAAAATACCCTTTAGGTGATATCTAAGTAGCTGTCTTTATTATGGAGAAAATATCTTGAATTTTCCTTAAGTGGTCAGTACCAAGAGGAATTAAAATACGTAGCTGGCCAAGGAAAGTAATTGTTAGTGAATGTAGTATGACATACAAGTTTTCTATATTATAGTTTGGTTATTCTCTCAATATTCGTTCCCTTCAAGGTGATTTGGGGTGTACGATGCCCGCGAAGAGCTCTTGATTCAAGGAATATGAGGTATCCTCTGGTACCCAGGCATTTTACGATCCTTTTAGGTTTAGTGCTCCCTACAAACGTAATAATAATAATAACAACAACTAATCTTGCTTTCCCGTTCCTTAGATTGTTTCGTCAAGGCTTAAAATTTCTCCTCCGTGAAACTTCAAAGTATGGCAGCTGCCGCATGTCTGGCTCCCAGTTACAGCTCTTTACTGGCTGTTTTAGCTGTATCAGCTGTCCAATGAGATGTAATACATCAACTGAATTTTCTAAAAAACTGTATTATACAATACTCATGTACATGCAATTGATTGATGGCTTTGAATGAGAGTGCTGCATTTCTGTTCATACAGTGTTCAGTGTCCTATGCATGCAATGTGCAAGTTCAGTATTAGGTTATGTAATACATTTATCTCGTACAAATTAACGATAAAAGAAACGATACATGTTATACAATATACATGGTAGAAGTGCAAAGCATTAGGGGTAATTTACACATTATTATTATTGCTGGGAACGTTAAATTGATAGGCGTCCCAACTCATTTGAATGAGAGGTAATCAGATTTGATCCAAGGAAATTAACTTATTTCCAATTCTAAGGCTCTTCATGGGGATAGTTTGATGTTGAAGGGCTCTTGATCCAATGAACTCGATTTGTCCTTCTCTTCCTTGGCTCAAACCTGGTTCTCCCTTTCTCCCTCCGCCAGGTATATGTACACTGTGTATATATTGGGAAGGCTCCATAGTGTTTTCTCACCTTTCGAAATTGTATCAACCCTTTATGGTGATATATTTACATTCTGGTTGCCGCTTTCTACAGCCCGTCCTCTTAACCACAAACATCATGGCATTGTTGTAAAAACAGTCAAAAAGATAACTGATGAAGGCATCGTTAACAGTAGTTATCTGACTGTATTGCTTTATCCTCCTCACAAATTTTTTTTATCGCCTTTTATCTTGCATTTATAG